GACACCAGTGCCCCCCCAAAGGTAGGCAGAACCTCCTCCTGCCCAGGGGATTTGTTGTTCTTCCTCTCTGATCTCTACACGAAAAACAGACTAAGACCTTCCAGCTCTCTCAGCTGACACCATTCCCTACAGGCTGCATCCAAAGGAGTATACCCCACCACCTTAGCGCACTGGACAGCATGCATCACTTGTCATTCCTTGTGACCACTGTGCATGTCAGGAGTGCCTGTGACTTGAGGACTCATGCATAGTAGAAGCATTTGGGAACACTGGGTATGTGAGAGAAGGAGAGCTCCCTACATTGCACTGGTTCCTTAGACTAACCACCTTCTATCCTGGAGGACTTGAGTACTTCTGTCTCTGGGCCTTCTTGTCTATAACATGAGTAGTGTTATCATTAACCAAGCACTAGCAATAACCATAGTAGCCAGTGGTTGTCTAATATCAACTCCATACATTGGAGTGTCACACTACTCTATAGAGGCAGATAATTACATGTTAGGTGTGACAAGACAGACCCCACTATCCATGATGGGTAAGAAGTCCAGGATAACAATAAATATGGTTAAGAGACATGACTAGCATCAGTCACCATCCTTGCCCCTGTCATTGCACAAGCAGGTGCGGAGGTACCAGATACTCCTGTCGCTGATGCTCTCCAGCCAGACCAAAGACCAGGTGACAGCGGGTGCCATGCAGCGCCTACGGGCACGGGGCTTGACTGTGGAAAGCATCCTACAGACAGATGATGACATGCTGGGCAGGCTCATCTACCCTGTGGGCTTCTGGAGGGTAAGCCTTAGCCTTGACAACAGAACCAAGAGGGGGCACTGGTCTAGAGATGGTGGGCAGGCATTTCTGACTACAGAGGCCTTTCGTGCTTCTAACCAACCAGGAGTCTATACCATGGGGCTAGTTCCCTGTCCCTGAAGCTCTTGGAACTTTCCTGTTTACATCCCTTCGTTCCTTTACCCTCCCACCTAGCTGCCTGCCCTCCTCTTTCCTCCCTTCCCCTCCTAGGCTCCCTGGAGTGCACCACTCCAAAGAGGCTGCTCTCCTACTCCTCAGAGCCCTGGGTGGTGGGTGGATCTGTTGAAAGCAGCTCTGTGGGTGGGGCTGCTTCCCCTGGCACTGCGTGGGCCATGTCTATCATATTGGTTTTAAATAGCCCTCTCCACTCAAGCACAGGATGGGAACCACCCAGCTGGTCTGGCAGTTGCTTGGGGGAGCCCCAGGCTTCAGCCTTGCTTCCTGAAGGCCCAGGTGCTACTGAGTCTAGGTTCTAGGGAGGGAATGCTGAGGCATGGGAGCCATGCTGGTTCCCACACACATGCCATTGGCCCACATTAGTGGGAGGTAGCTCTAGGCATGTATGTACTGGAGTCCTGCTAGGGGCTCTTTCAGGCCTCTTTACTGCCTTTGGCTCCTCACCTCCTGGAGAGGCAGGGCAGATAGATATCTCTACATGAGACATGGGCAGGTAATGGGCAACTCTGGATACCTGTGGGTCCTCAACCCCAAGCCTAACTCACACCATCTTTCAGAACAAAGTAAAGTTCATCAAGCAGACAACCGCCATACTGCAGCAGCGCTATGAAGGGGACATCCCTGCTTCCGTGGCAGAGCTGGTAGCCTTACCAGGTGTTGGGCCCAAGATGGCACACTTGGCTATGGCTGTGGCCTGGGGGACCATATCAGGCATAGGTGAGTGGTTTATGTCACAAGAAGGAAGAAGTCAACTATAAGCTTGCTTGCTTCTGTAGGGATTCCCTAAATATTTTGTGACTCAAAACATAGTATTAAAGGGTATTCTCAGTGCTGAGCAAGCTCACAGCAGGGCACTGAGGACAAGAACTCACATTTGCTGAGTTCCTCCTGCATGCTGATCTCTGTGAGGGACTTTGAAGCCAGGTGATCCCCACTGGCTTCACTGTGTAGAAAGGCTGATGGTGGGTGGGTAGTGTGACAGTCCTGTGGAGTCTGACCATGGCTTCCAGGATCTGGGAAGCCTTTTGTATTTGTTGTTATTGTTTGTTTTGGTTTTTCTAGATAGGGTATCTCTGTGTTGCCAGTGGATTTATCTACAGGAGATCCACCTGCCTCTGTCTCCCCCCACCCCCAGTGCTGAGATTAAAGGTGTGTGCCACCACTCCCAGCACCGCACTAGCCTCGGTTTAAGTCCTGGGATTATAATCACGCACCGATGTGCCCAACTCCGGGAAGTCTTTCTGAGGTCATGTTTCAGTTTAGGGTTTCTGGTGAGTTAGCCAGACCAAGAGGTACAAGTGTGTCCCAGGCAGAAAGAATAGCAGCTGCACAGCTAAATGACAAAGCAGGATGCTCTAGAATGGGTGGGGCAGATCAAGGAAACCTAGGCTGAGGTGGTGGTGGAGGAGGGGAAGGGAGGTCTGCTGGGACTGGGAAGGAGGGTCATTTCTGGAATCCCTTTTCTGGGTGTGATCGCCCAGCATTTGAAGCACCTCTGTAGCTAAATTGAAGACATATTCCCTGGGCCAGGGACAGAAGTGCTGCTTCTCAGAACTTTGCCCAGAGTAGTTGTGGCTCCTGTGGTCACATAGAAACCAAGATTTAGCCCTGACCTCTTTGGGCCCCCAACCCCTGGCTCCTGAGTGTGCCTGGTGGACGGTTTCCTTCAGCAGGTCTCTAAGCCTGTAACACAGTAGCACCGCCCAGTGGGTAGAGGGCAGCTGGGGGCCCAGAGCTTTTCCTGGGAGCTGGTGACCACCTGTTGAGACTGGAGAACAGCAACCCTTGGAAAAACCTGACAGGTAGGAAGTGGGTGAGGCCTCCACTCCTCAGCAGCCGCCAGCAGCCTCTTAGTAGACACTTGAGCTTATCTAGACACTGTCCTCAGCTGCCTGTATCCCAGGAGTGCTGTGGTCAGGTAGCTCTGTGGGGGAAGGGCCCCTGCAGGGAATTGTGCTTTCAGTGGTCAGGGCAGTATATACGTGCCACCTGCTTCTCTGTAGTCTGAGGGCCTGGCTACCTTCAGTGAGGCCCCAGGGCTGCCTCCTAGGGAGAAAAGATGGCCTTTCAACTGAAAAGCAAGAACTATGGAGTTCTGGCTCTTGCAGCTGGGTGACCTTAAGTCACACACTTGGCCTCTCTGAACTTGACTTGACAGCCAATGAAGTAATCTCCCTTCTTAACAATGCAGATGTATAGGAAGCCCTTCTGGCCAGCATAGGAGGCTCCTACATGATGTGGTCCTGGATTGGGCCTCTGGGTTCTAATTTTTTTTTTTTTCCCGAGACAGGGTTTCTCTGTGTAGCTTTGGAGCCTATCCTGGCACTCGCTGTGGAGACCAGGCTGGCCTCGAACTCACAGAGATCCACCTGCCTCTGCCTCCCGAATGCTGGGATTAAAGGCGTGCGCCACCAAAGCCCAGCTTGGACCTCTGGGTTCTAAGGAGTGTGATTACAGAGAAGGAAACTGAGGCTTAAGGCTTCCACAATGTGACCCCTCAACCTGCACCCCTAGTCTTTTCCCAGGCAATAAGCAAGTCAGGGAGCTGGCATAGGACTGGCTAATTGTCAAACCTTGGAAAAGCAGGGCAAGCACTGCAGTTGAGTGGGTGGCTTGGCAGGTGACCCCAGTGAAGGCATGAGGCTGAATCCCTGCAATGGCCCACTGATGGGAGCACAGCTGTGGCCAACCTGACCCTGCTCTCCACTCTGTCCCCAACAGATGTAGCAGCTGCTACATATTTGCTTTGTAGTACAGGCTGGCTTCGAACTCAGAGATCCACCTGCAAGCCTTTAATTCCAGTCCTCAGGAAGCAGAGGCAGGTGTATCTCTGAGTTTGAGGCAGGCCTGGTCTACATAGTGAGTTTCAGGATACTCAGGGCCATTAAGAGAGTCCCTGTCTCAAACAAACTAAACAAAAACAGGCTGCCTGCACTCCAGACTCAGCCAGCCATGCAGATGTAGTGAGTTCTCTCAGGCTCCATGGTTCCCATCTTGTCTAGAGGTCCAGGGGGGAGAAGCCCTGGGCTCTTTCTTAGGACTGGAGATAGGGATGGGGCACCGTCCAGCTGGCAGAGTGCCCTCGTTCATCCTACCCTGTCTCCAAGCAGCAGTGGACACACATGTACATAGAATCACCAACCGACTGAGGTGGACCAAGAACGTGACCAAGACCCCAGAGGAGACACGCACAGCCTTGGAGGAGTGGCTACCCAGGTACAGTATAGCTGGATGAGCCTGGGGGAGGGAGCAGTCCTGCCCTCTTATACACTGACCTGCCCCTTACCCCCACAGGGGGCTGTGGAGTGAAATCAATGGACTGATGGTGGGCTTTGGCCAACAGATCTGCCTTCCTGTCCATCCTCAGTGCCAGGCCTGCCTCAACCAGGCCCTGTGCCCTGCTGCCAAGGACCTCTAAGGGTCAGAGGACTTCCTCTGGCCAGAGTCTGTGAAGTGCCTTTGTGAGGAGGGGTAATGAGGTTTGGGGGTTTTTTGCAGAGTATATAATAAAACTGGGGGTTATCTACACTTGACTTCTAGCCCAGTTGATTTAGTATCAAGTCAAGAAGCATATATGTGAATGCTGTGTCTACACTTGTTCACATGTCAGGCAGGACTGCCTGGGAGGCTGTGTGGGGACATACTGTATCCTGGGAAGTGGGGGAGCATAAACCCAGGAGGGAGGAAATAGAGCCAGCTGCAGCCAGCTGCTGGGAAGCCTGCGGGGGTGGGGGGGTGTCCTTGTGAACTCTCACACTCTGTCCTGCAGACCCAGCACTTCCCTGAACTTCTAGCTTCTGAACTCGTGCTTAGCCTGTGCCAGGAGCCACCCCCACCTTAACAGAACTCTAGAGACCTAGACCCTGGACTGCCGGACACAAGGCTTAACAGGACGTGTCTTGGAGAAGTAGGAATGATGGTGTCATTCCTCACCTAAGGGTCTTCTAGAATTGGCCTTATCCCTCACCCCCACCCCATCAACTGAAGACTCAGAAACGACACAGGCGCCAGAGTCCAAGGCAAGGCCTGTTTAATTGAGGGTGCGCGTGCGTGCGCTATGGCTTATGAGGCAGACTGCAGTGCCAATAAGTGAGTTTGGGCATTGAGAGCACTGAGGAAGGGGCATAAGGCAGGGGCCAGGCCCAGGAGCCCAGGATCATACCTGGGAATAGCTCACACAAACTCACTGTCTCCAGGTTTAGGGGCTGCAGAGCAGCATGAGGGGCTGGTCCAAAGGCTTCCCAGAATCATGGAACCACCATCCTCTGGCCCCTCAGAGAGCATAGGCTTTGCATTCCAGAACCCAGCATGTGGGAGGCAGAGAAGAGAAGCCTGGCATAGGGACCTTCCCTCACTCGGGATGGGACAGTATTAGCTCCTACAAGCACAGCTGGCCCTTGCAGGCTCCTGGCTGGCTGTTCCCTGGAGTCCCTGGTCTCTGCTCAGGATGGTGTTGCTGACAGGGTGGATAAGAAAGGGTTTGCAGAGAAAGGTTTGTTTTATTGCAATTATTTAGAGTGAGTCCCGAGGGGCTGGGGGAGGGGGCTCCACTATTAACTAGAAACATATGTGGAGCTGGAGACCTTTTAGGAAAAAAAGCGAAAACATGAATTCCTTTCAGTCAGCAGGCCCGAGGCAGAACAGCAAAGGCCCTTGGCAGACCACCATTCATAGGCTCCTCCCTCTCTCACTGGTTCTCTGTCTGTTTCTGTTTCTGTCTCTGTCTCTCTCTCTCTCATCTCTGGGTTTCTCTCTTCCCACATCTTGCTATGACAGCCACAGCACCCAGTGGACAAGACAAGGGTTCATGGGGTCATGGGTTGTTTTCTGGGTGGCATGATACCACCCTCCAGTCTGCTGAGGCTTGGGGAGCTCTGGAAAGGTCCAAGGTCTGTGCTTGAAGAGACCCTGGGGCCCCTGGACAAGCAGAGAGGGGCTCAGAAGTTGCTGAAGATCTCTCGCTTCCGGTTCCAGTCCATCTGTGGTGCCCGCTTGTTGACCCTAGTAGCTCGAGCCTTCTCCTTGGCCTCAGCTGCTGTGGGACTCAGGTGGAGGCCACTCTCCTGGAAGGGGTCTCGCTTCCAGGCACTGCCATCCTGGGTACAGATGAGGTGCAAACAGTGAGCCATATCCCTGGCAGCTTCCTTCCCAAGGAACTTACATCAGAGGCTACCTCAGGGCCTAGGGCAACTAGCCCAAGAGGCTTCTTGGAAGTGGTAGCCTCACTGTCCTGGTAGATATTTCCATAGAGATGAACTCTTAAGCCCTCTGAAACCCCATGTGTGAGCACCACAGCAGAGTTACCTCATTGTCCTTCTCTGAGCCTGGCAGGTCACTTCGGGATGAGCACTTGGAGCCACCATTGAGCTAGGAAACCAAGGGTAGGTTGTGGTTTCAGCGTCCTCATCCCGGTGCACCTAGACCTTCACATGCGCACACATGCACAGTTCACTTTTGAGCACACACAACACAACTGCATCTACTCCTTGCTCAGCATCACACTTCTGTCACTGTCTGGGCCAGGGCATAACTGGCACCTGTCAGTGAACAGGCAAGCCCAACCTGGCCAATCATGATAGGGGAGAGCAGTTGTGGCAATGGGAATTGGCTACGTGAATGTCACCTGGTGTCCCAAGAAGGAAAGGACTGAAGACTACTCAGTAGTCATGTCATGTAGGAACAAAGCATGGAAGGGTGGCCCAGGACCCCAGGTACCCTGTGTGAGCCCCAGTGCTGACCCTATACAGGATCCACAGTAGATATTTGTTTTGTTTTGAGACAGGGTCTCTCTATATAGCCCTGGCTTTCCTGGAACTTACTTTGTAGACCAGGATGGCCTCAAAAACTCAGAGATCTACCTGTCTCTTCTGTCTCCCAAGTGCTAGGATTAATGGTGTATACCATCATGCCTGGCTAGCACAATGGGTATTTTTGAGGTGGCCAAGCCAGATAGGTTTCACTTCTGTACATCCTCAAAGGCAGAAATCTCCAGGAAAAGCAGCCTCTGTCACATCTGGGGACACAGAGGTGGAGGTGCACTTAGGATTGCATGGGCCCACCCTCTCACCTGGGCAGGACTGGTCCCGTTTGTGACTGGTGATGGCAGTGGACCTGTGGGAACAGCATGTTAGTGACTTCACTGACCCTACCCTGTGCCCCTAAGGTAGTAGCCTACCTTCTACATGTTCCTCAGTGGGTATGACCCGCAACCGCTTGAAGTGTTCATCCGTCTCAGGATCTACCACCAGCAACCGGGCCTCATCCTCCCGTGCCTTGATTCTGGCAACAACTTCGGCATGGCGCAGCCCCTCCACATTCTGCCCATTCACCTGCCACCACCCACACAGGGTCAGAAAGGCCTGAGGGGCCCAGTCGGCCCAATGCCACCCAGCCAGGTGTGCCATCAAATATTCATCGAAGCCACCACCAGCCGAGGCAGCAAGAGTGCCAGCTCAAGTTCCCTGTGTCTCCCCTCCTGCAGGGACCCAGGGCCCAGACATAAACACTTAGGGACATACAAATACACAGCGACCCAGGGTACCTCAATGAGCCGGTCCTGGGCACGGAGGCCAGAGTGGGAAGCAGGTGAGCCTGGGTCCACAGAGCGGATGTATTGACCAGGCCGGGACTTGTCACTATGCAGGTTGAACCCATAGCCCTGGGGTCCCCTTCGCAAGTGGCAGAGCCGGGGACGCAGCTCTCTTGGCGGCCCATTGACATCCTGTAGACACAAAGGAGGTGACATCAGGCTCTATCCCAGCCTTCCAGTTCTAAGCTCTCAGGAACCAATCCCAGGATTCACTGATAAAAAACACTCTATGTGCCCCATGACTGAGGTGCCTAGAAAAGTTTGGTGACAAAGCCAGTTCCCACACATGTAAATATCTAATGACATAGCTGCTGGCAGGAGCCATTGGGGTCACTGTGCACAGCTTGGGGAACCAGATGGGATAACAGCCCCCATCACAGGACCTAGCAAGACTGTGCCTTTAGGTTTTGCCTCCCCCCTCCTTTGCCTGCCTCCTGTAGAGTTGGTGCCTTGGAAGCTGGAGCAGCTTTGTTTTCTTCTCAAGGCCTCCAAGAGGCTCCTCTGGGCTGTGTGGCAGCTGTTTGCTTTTGAATTCCAACACTAACTGGGACCACTGCCCCATCCCGTGGGCCCAGAAAGAAGAAACTTCAAGTAGGAAAGATCCAGTGACAGCCAGTCCTAGAGTACAATGCTTCCTCGCCACAGCACGAAGGGCTCACAATACCCACAGGGAACCCCTACCTCTGCCCAGGCTGCCTTGCTTTACCTCTGGCATCCTGCAGTAGATCTCTGGGTCAGGAGGCTATGAAGGCAGGGCCCAGCCCGCTGACCTTCCACCCCAACCAGGAGCCAAGCCAGAGACTGCTGCTGAATGGCCAGTGGCTGCTGGTGCCCAATTACACAGGGCCAGTGGCTGGGGTGGGCAGGCAGGTGGCATCTCAGGTTTCTAGGTGTGTGTGCAGGTGACAATGTGCTGGCTGGGGGCATTTCCCTCACCTACTACTACCCCTGCCCCTGCATATCTGATGGCTGGGGGACCATAGAGCAGGGAGGTTCCTTCAGGTCTCAGGCAGATCTCTAAATCTCAGGTACCTGTTTTCCCCCAACCCAGAATACCTCTGACTATTCCATCTGCCCACTATACCTCCCTTTTTGGTGTTCTGGCAAGAAGATCCCATGTTGTAACCCAGGCTAGCCTCAAACTCAAATTTCAAAGTGATCTTTTGTTTTAGCTTCTGAGTGCCTGAATTATAGGCATATGCCACCATACCTATCTCCAAGCCCTAAATGTGGTATTATCCATGTCCATGTGTGACAGCCAGCTGCAGGAGTAAGTACATCCTTCCATGCAGAGCCACTCCTGGCTTAGGGTTCTGGGATGTCCCTTCAACTTGGATACCCTCTTTTTATCTAGCCTCACTCAGGACCCCTTCCTTGACCCCAAAGCCCAGCTGGATTTTCCTGCTGACCCTTGGTGCACAGCCACCATCTGCCCTATTACACCAAGAATTACAGAGGTTAAACTGTTCCCTAGTCCCCTAGGGACTCAGCTTGACAATGTTCACTGAATTGAGGGTTGTAAGGTCTCAGAGACTGTCAGAATCCCACTGCACAGATTTGACAGCTCGAAAGACATAGCTGAAGTTATGTACAGACTTTGGGGCAAGGCTCTGATAGGCCCTAACAGAGGTACCTGTCAAAACGCAGCCTGGGACAGCAAGAGACTAGTTCACAAGGGAGAGAGACTGGAGAAATAGACAACGCCAAAACAGTATGAGGAAATACGTGACCACTCCTGGCACAATGTCCTAGGAGGCAGGGCCACATCATGTGGCCATAGAGACAAGACATACAAGCTTACACTCAAACAAGCAACATGGACACACACAGCCACCCACACATGCAAGCTTATGTTCATGGCACTGCCCCCTGTGACCTCTTCCCACGGCCTCTGTGGTAGCCTACAGGGCAGGGTTTCCTGGGCTCCAAAATGGGAAGCAGGACTTGGCAAGTTATTGTGACCATGAAACTAGGGACCACTCCTGAGGGGCTGTTCTGGCCAACCCCCAGCCCCAAGTCAGATCAGCCACATCTCAGCACAGGCTAAAAGATCCCTTTTGTCAACTAGCCTAGACTGTCTCTGGCCACAAGCAGAGTCTAAGTAGTGTCAGGCCTGGCATTAAGATCCTCAAGTACAGGGACTGCAATGCACCCTCAAGCCTGTGGAGTAGAGGGGGACAGCTAGAGCAAGCAAGTGGGGGTAGGGTGCCCCCACAAGCAGTGGGAGGGGTGCATTGCTGGAATTCTTCCTCCCAGCCCTAGCTGTGAGCACACTTCCTGCCTTCTTTAGACAGGCCTTCTGGCTCCCACGGCTCTGAGACACAGAGCCATAGAGCTGGGCAAGCCGCAGTACCCCTGCTGAGCCTATAGCCAAACAAAGGCTGATATGGGGGTGCTCTAGGAGCCAGGCTCTGCCCCCCCCACCAGATAATGACTCACCAACCCCAGCAGAGAAAGGCCCCCATTGTTGCTTGGGGTCCATCTTGCAGGCACAAACATCCCCAAGTTCCCTGTCCCTTCCCAGAGATTGAACTAAGGCTGGGATCCTGACAGCCCAGCTCTGTCCCCGTCCCACCTGACCTGAACAAGCCCCCGATGGCAGTTCTGTGGAGAAGCTCCTGGGGCAGAAGCAGGCAGCATGGCATTCCTGGAGCGAGCCATGAGAGGTGGGCTAGGAATGGCAAGTGGCAGGTGACCAGCCTGGAGCGGCCTGAGCTCTTGGGCCAGCAGAGACTGCCACCCCACTTATCTACCTCCTACTGTGGCTCAGGTTCCCTGGGGATGGGTGGGAACATAGGGGCTGACTCACTTTGGGTAGCAGGGTGGTTACTGAACCCCCTCCCCTGTCTGGCGCCCCCCACACCCAGCTGGATTTCCGTCCCAAGAAAGGAAGGAAGGAAGCTGCTGGGAGGCCCTGCCCTGCTACAGGACCCAGGGCTGTGGAGAAGGGGAGTCAAGGGAGGGGACCTTGGCTGGAGAACAGAAGACAGTGGATGGGGGGAGGGAAAAAAAGGACAGAAGGAAACAGGGGAGCCCAAAAGCTTTGCTGCTATCACTTTGTTCTACAGCATCCTATATCGTGAAGCCACCACCTGCAGAGTTACACCATCCCTAACTCAGTCCCAAGTCCTCCAGGAGGTATCATGGTAAGACTGAAGGGGTGGAAAGGCATGGTCTATCACTGCCTCCCTGTCCCTGGCACTGCTAGCTGCTGGGTCTCTGTTTGGGGGCTGTTCCTGTCATCACTGCTAGAATCATCTCACTGCAGCTGCAGCCACCCCCAGCCCTGAATGGCCTGGGGTTGAGTCACCACTGACTAGGCCTTCCCGCCCCCAAAGGGAGGGGCAGACCATATCAGTATTCTCCCCTGTCCCACCTCCCCTATCCTGCAGGCTGGGACAGATGACACAAGTTCAGGGAAGATGAGAAAGCTGTTACTTCCCATGGAGGCACCTAACAGACACCCCCACCCTAAGCAGAGCAGAGGCACACACACCTCGCTAGTCTGTCCAGCCCCCAACCCCCCATTAGAGTACAACCCTCTGAGGCTCCCACATCCAGCCTGAGGCAGGCTGTTTTAAGCCTGGTTTGTAGAGGTTATATAAGGCTCTCCTTTCTCTTCCAGGAGAAGACTGTCCCTTGGGCTCCTATACCTCCTAGAGTCCTTGTCCCTAGACTTGACCCATCTACAATGGGACAGGCCATTGTACCCCCTTTTGTTCCTCTAAAAATACGCCCAGAGGAAGCCCCCTCCTAGGGCTTCCTGCAGCCCCTCCAAGCCTGAAATAGCAATGACAGGGAAGGACCCACCCACACCAAGGGGCCTGGGCCACCCCATCTCCAGATAAGGCCCCAGGGTGGATTTTTCCACAGGAAGGTGAACAGGGCTGTTTGCATCTAAATGAATGGACAGGAGGGGGGCCTTCTTCCTAAGCAGGAGAAAGGGGTGCTTAGGGAAAAGGGAGGCTCTCAGCCCTCAGCCAGAGGAAGGTGGGCCTAGGACCATCTTGTTCCCTCAAGAATTCCTTCTAAAGACTCCTGATCTTAAACAGCCAAAGGGCAGAATCTAGATCCTAGGGCTTGGCACCTGCCCTCAGGTCTCTGAGAAAGAAAAGAACCAACAGGTTGAAAGCGGAGACCTTTGCCCAGGTTGGCCTTACCACTGGGAATGTCATCTTCCAACCTCCAGACAGGTCCTACAGGGAGCAGCACAGGCCCAGCCAGCTCAAGTAGGAGACATTTGGTGAGGTCAAAGGCAAATGCTAAGGTCTGAAGTTTCACCTGACCCTCCAGCAACCCTCAGCCAATGGTTCTCAGAGTTGGATGTGGGGAACCCCTTGGCTCAGAGAATAATTAGAAGACATAAGAGGCAATAACACCAGGGCCTCCAAGAAGCAGAACAAACAGCCTCGGGCCCTTCCTCCTTGCCCCACGTTCTGCCTAGGTAGCTACTGAGGAGGTAGAACAGACCTTCCCTTGTTTCTTCCAGGTCTCCTGTCCTGGAAGGAGACAAGGGGGAGGTGCTATCCAGCAGGAGCCATGGGACAACAGCACATAGGGCTCCCTAGGGGAGGGGAGCCAAGGGAAGGACTCATCCCAGAAGCTCCTTATGAGGACCCACGTGCCGCTCACCTGGGTGCCAGTCCCCATCCTTGTCCATATTTTCCACCTGTGCTGGAAACCCCCACCCCACTATAGTAAGATCTAATCCACCCAAGGCTCTCAGAGCACATGGATGCTTCAGACAGAGACATGGAGAGAGCCCAGGACAACAGGTATCTAACAGACACTCAGTCCTTTAGTGTCCCAGCAGCTCCAACCAAGGCTCCTCAGCCACTGGAACCTGAAGTAGAGGGAACAAAGACAGAAAGAGTAGCCACAAGTGGTCACCAAGGGCATAGAGAGTGGCTACTGTAGTAGGGAAAGAGCCCTAAGAAGAAATGGAGGCTTATAGAAGTTATCAAAGTGAAGACTATTACCAAGAGTTCTGGAAAAGGTTCATTATCCCCACAGACATAGCCCACCATACCTTCTGGCCAGTGTCAGAGCCAAGGCTGCTCGAGCATGCCCAGTCGTGCTTTGGCTCCCAGGGGTTGTGGGCTGGTGGAAGCCCTCGATGGGCCATCTCCTCAGTGCAGGTCAGTTGCCGCCGGCAGAGTTCCTCATCTGTCTCCTTGTCCACCACAAGCAGCTGAGTGTGCCCCTCCACAGCCTTGATCCTCTGTACCACCTGGAATGGGTGGGTAGCAGGACTAGATCAGCAGCCAACACGCTGGGCAACACATGGATAGGGCACCACTTCGAAAGGGCGCCACTCTTGGCAAAGCACGACTCACAGACAGCAGGCAGGGGTTGGCCTGCCAGGGGTGGGCAGCTGGACTGAGAGGCCTGCGAGCTCCACCCCCCACCCCCAGTTTCCAGTAGCTCCCTCCCTCTTCTCCCTGAGCTAGGGCCCAGGCTGCAAGTACTTCAGGATCCTCTTGTGGCATTGCACCAAGCTCAGGTAAGGACAGGAAGGAGATGCCAGGAGCAGCCAGATGGAAGAGTCAGAAACGATTGAGTTGAGCTTCAGGATTTCAGTCTAGTCTATGCATGTGTGTGTGCATGCTTATCTGTATGTGTGTGCTTTTGTGTGTGTGTGTGTGTCTGTATGTGCATCTATTTTAAAGTCTGTCTTTCCGCCTAGGTGTAGGAGAGGGCTACATGGCCCCAATGTGAGTATTTGGGTTTATTTCTTTCTCTGAGATGCAGTGTGAATCTAACACCCAGAAATCTCTAGAACTCCAATTTGCCTCCAGACCAGGACTAGAAACCCATTCTTGCTGCACCTGCAAAGGGGTGAAGAACTAGAGATTCTACCTAAGGTGCCAGAAATATCAGGTAAGCAGGATCCCACTCCAGCAGGTAAGGCGAACAGTAGCAGATACAACAGTGTAAGAGGTGTGGCTTGACAGCCATCTGTGTATCTGGATGGGTGCCTGTGAAGTGTGGAGAGCATGTGGGCTACCATGGATCATGCAGGATGTTAGTTTGAGTTCAAAGGGAGACATGCCCACCGGACATCTGAAGGGCAGGAAGCATTAACAACTGCACCAAGGCCTGCGGCTGAAGAGACGGAATCCCCATCATTACTTCACTTAGTACATGCTATCCTATCACAGATAGGAAGGTCTGACCCACAGCCACCTTCACCTGGCCCCTCCATGACCATCCTCTCTCCCTGTGACCAATAGAACAGGATCCCAGCACCCTGACACCTTTTGGCATGGGAACGGAGCCAGTCAGTAAAATAGGAGTCATGGTTTTACCTCCTATCTTCCTGAGCAGGAGAAAGGATCGAATGTGGCTCTGCGTGAAAGTCTGTAGGGACTAGCACCCCAGAAACCTGCGATAAACAGGTGGATTCCAGTAACTGCTAGAGGCAGATGACACCAACCCTGCAGGTCTCTACCTTGCCTTGTGGGCCAACCTTTGGGCTCCATCCCAACCTCTTCATCACACAACCAAATCCAGTGGTCACTGTAGGTAGAAAGCAGGTTCCTGAGGGAGACAGGAATTCCCTCATGGCCCAGTGAAGTACCACCCTGCCTTCTCCAGGCTCCAAGACTAACCACACAGGTAGGTCATGGACATGCTGGTACCAGGGATCCAGGCAGAAATGGTGGAAGAAGTCTGGGCCCTAGCCAAGGTCTGAGGTGTGTCTACCCCTCAGCAGGATACAGACACCCAGAGGTAAAACCTGAGGAGAGAACAGCCTTCCTCTGGCTACAGAAGGCAAGAGCTGAACAGTGACCTATACAGGGAGGGCCAGGCAGCCTCTCAGGAGGAGGCTGTTTCTGACACCAAGGAAGTATACTGCCATGGTGCTGACTGCCAGACCCAGACATAAGGGCCCATGAGAGAAGTACACCAGTATATCCAATCATGCAGACAGACAGATGGACGGACACACACATACACACACACACACAGCTGGCATACATGTTTGATGTATCCACCCAACCCTAGACACACATTCCAGCACTGACACTGAATGCTTTCATCCTGGAACAGTTGGGTAGTGTGTTCATATGGATGACCCCAGAGAGACCTGCAAGCACTCACACATTGACAGAAAAGCATCTGTACCACAAGGCCACAAGGTGCCTTAGCCACCTCCTCCCCCTCCATGGCACACAGAGGCCAAAACTAGCAGAAGCAGCCAGGGCCCTGGCCAGAGTAGCCGCAGTGCGGCCCCTCCCTACCAGGATGTCCTCCCTCCCCCGCTAGTGCAGGACTGAGCTTCCTCACCAGGAGGCCAGCTGGCCGGCCACGTCCCACACCTCAACACCGAACCCAGGCAGGCCCCTGTGCGACCCTGGCCGGGTCCCACCATGTGGCACGCAGAAGTGGGGGTTGTTGGCATCTTGGCCAGCGCTGTAGGGACGCGCCCCCAGGAGGGTGCCGGGGGGCGGGGCGCAGCGCAGGGACCCACCTGGTGATGCGTCTCGCCCTCTACGTTGACGCCGTTGACCTCAACCAGGCGGTCCCCGGCGCGCAGCGCGGCCGCCTCGGCTGGGGAGCCTGGCTCCACGC